GCAAAATTCCTTACAAAGACCGGACATCTATGCTTCTACGCCCTTTATTGTCTTTGCTTCGGAAGGCTTTTTTTTTTGAGTCGGAATTCATTATGGGAGACCAAACTTCCAGCATTCATGCAATTTGTACGATTTCATTAGTTTTGGGAACATAATTCGATACTTTTGGACTAAGACAAGAGCAAAAAGGTGCTAATAAACAGTCAAAATCCCTACTTATCAGGCCTTCAAACAGGTTTTGAACTCCATGTGGTCTGCAGGCCCAAACTCCAGGTGCAAATAGTGTTCTTTAGACTTCCAATACCAAAGCAGGCCCAACACATCAGGCCCAAACGAATAATTTCTTACCCAAAAGGATGCTAAGCTTGGCTATACGAGTGACACTACACACAGAGTTAATTGAACTGCTCTCAAGTTTAAAACACTCAGTCCTTAAGCTGTGACCAACAACAACTCTAACCAAGACTTATATACAGGATCATATCAAATCGAAAGACACAAAAAGCACGTATGAGACAAGGTTTGTGGATGTAACTCCATAAATGGAGTTTAAGCAAACAACGAAACAATGTTAGTAAATTTGGAGTTACTCGATGGACGCAGGGACTTGGCACATATAAAGATGGCAGCCAAAAGCAAAGAATAGAGAGATATTACAATCGAAGAGCCAACCTCCGTTATTTCAAAGTAAGAGACAGTTGTAAGGAAAGTAACTCAGAACACCCGGGTGCTCAATGCGGGGAAGCTAGGTCCAACATGGGAAGGCCCCTATCGGGTTTCAGCTGTCACCGAGAAAGGGTTATACGAATTAGAAAATCAAAATGGAAAAAAGTTTCCAAGCAAGTGGAATGTGGCGCACCTTAAGAGATACTATTGCTGATGAACCTTGGTTGTACTGAAAGTATGTGCTACACTTTTTTTTTCTTCGTTCAGTTTTTGTTCCAATTGAGATTTTCTAACAGTTTTTAGCGAGGCTACAATGGAAAGCATACTACGAAGGAAGCCTCACCAGTAGCAATAAGACCTTTATCACATCTCATTTTTTCAAAAAATAAGGAGTTTTTCCAATTAAAGTGATATTTTTCGAAATAGAATTATTTATTTAATCAGAGTCATCACTTGAAATAATTATTACGGTGTCCCAAGTCACCGGTTTATTTTAAAATCTAAAATCGAGGAAATTAACTCTATATATGGTCCGCGAACACAAAAGACCAGGTAAGGAATTCTGTTAATCCGGAAGAAGGTGTGAGACACTCCCAAGTTTCGTGGTTTTAGCACGGTCGCTCAACAATTAATAATTGGCCTAATTATCTGAATTATTACCTGTTAAAACCTTTTACACATTACTGCCTTTACACTGCTTTTGTTTCAAGCATTTTTAGTATTTATGAAGTTTATTTGAATAAGTCGCCATGTTACACACTCGTTGTTATTATACATATTGCAAATCACACTATGTGAAATGTACCCGTAATTCACAACATGTTTATTTTAATTATTTGAAGTTATGGTCAAGTCGCGTGAAACACGCACTTGAGTTTGGAATTACGTATCATGACTATATCACGGAAACCGTACCCACAATCACAATAATTTATTATTAATCACGCCTCAAACAAGTTACAATGTTCGAAAGTTGTTTAATGTTCCTAAGGTTTAGGATTGAAGTGAAAAGAATTTACATCCACACTATTCAACTAGGTTAGGCAAGCTTCCTACTTTCACAAAATTATACATCTATTACACCTTATTAGCTTATATCTAAAACTCACGTGAATTGGGTTAATTCTGAGAATTACCGAAACGGGATGGGCAAGTGTAGAGGACATTTGTTCAAGGCCCATTTCAATTCTAATTTTTGTAGAATATTCAATTCATACATCATCACAATGGTCTTGCCAAATCATCCAAGTGTATATCTAATTACAATTCAATGTTAGGAGAGTTTATACATCAATCCAAGTTGTGCAAATAATATTCTAATAATTTACAGTGATCTTTGAACTTTCTCGTGCAAGTTTAATCTATTTATCAGGATGTTCATTGTCCAATGAGTGCTACTAATACCCAGCTAAACTCACAAATCAACATCACAGAAGAGAAAAAGCTAGGCAGATCTAAGACAAACATTATGCCCAATTCAGCGTTAACAAGGACTGAAAGCTAATGAACTAAGCGATCAAAATAGCATTTCAAGCAACGATTAAAACAGAAAATTTGTGCAGATTTACATACATGATTCGTAAGAATGGTTGTTTAACGATAATCAACTGAGATTACACTGCTCAATTGACAGAATCAAAGTTGTATTACTCAAATTAGGCCAAAAGCATTTAAATCACTGATTTGAAGCAAACATTAATGAGTCCTTTCTCTAACAAATGCTAGAACTTCGGAAGCTGCTTAACAACTCCAAATCCAGTACACTTATTTTAATCAAACACATAATCGACAACTACTTCATGTTTCATGAATTGAGATTTGAAGGAAAAATTCTACATGCTTATAGGACGTTAAATACAAAACAGCACAAAGCACTTTCAATTCCACACAAAACCGCAGACAATTACAATTATATCATGTATTTCATTAATTCAAAAAAGGATAACACTATTGGGGACCAAACAGTACCTCGGAGAGTAGAAATAAGAAGAATACAGTGATAAAATATGAAGGAAGCACAGCTACAGTCCCAGCAAATTGTAATATACTAATGAATTGAAATACAAATTTGGGACTGAAATGGTGATTTTATTGAATTGTTCAAATATTACAAGTGAACCAACGAATTGAGAATTGAAAATCACTCTAAGAACAAAGCTTCTAATCTCAAAAACTTCTAATCTCCATTGAATCCAAGCTATCACCTGTAGAATTAATGGAGGTTGTTAGATAGAAGGAAGAAGAGAATGAGAAGGTTAGAGAGAGAAAGAGAGTTGGGAGAGGAAATAACAGAAATTACCCGATCATAACTGCCCAATTAGTTAGGCCCAATTCCGTTATAAACTCCTTTCGCTGGCCCAAATCCGTTAGAGAGTTGATAACAAATCTAAGCCCTTTATTTTATTGATGTACCTCAGCCGTCCAATTCAGTGTGTGCCTCTCACGTGAGTTTTGTTTTATTGCCTATCTCTTTTCCCTAATTTCCTTTCTTCATTTCATCCTTAGCCAACATATAACAATACCCCTCCGATGAAGACAATGACCTTATCCTCAAGGTCAGAGATTAGCCACAAACTCTGGAAACTTGCTTTTGATATATCTCCAATCTTCCCAAGTTGCATCCTCAACCCTCAAATTAGCCCATTAAACCAAAACCTTGACACCCACCCCATTATTCATCTTCACCATCTTCCTTTGCAAGATTGTCACTGGTTGGACTAAGATACAGCCATCCTCATCGCAGATCGGAGGTTGTGGTTGTGGAATGATGTTAGGACCTACGCGCCTTTTCAGCTGAGAAACGTGGAACATAGGGTGGATCTGAGATCCCGGCGGTAACTCCACCCGGTAAGTTACTGACCCTATTCTTTGTAGAACCTTGTAGGGACCATAAAATTAGCACTTAGCTTAAGGTTCTTCCTAACTGCGACTGAAGCTTGTCTGTAAGGTTGAAGCTTTAGGTAAACCCAATCACCCACCTCTAAAACCCTGTCAGATCTATTCTTATCGGCATAAAACTTCATTCTTGTTTGGGCTTGAGTGAGGTTGTCCTTAAAGAATCTGTAACATTTGCTGTCTTTGTGCTATCTAAGTACCGGCCTGTGTCTGAGCTGGTTGGGGTAGTGACCCCAAGGGAATCTGAGGTGGTGCAAACCCATACAATGCCTGAAAAAGAGTAGTCTTTAAGGAGCTGTGATGGTTGGTGTTGTACCACCATTCTGCCAAGGGTAACCATTTAACCCACTGCCTAGGATTAGTAAACACCATAGCCCTTAGATAAGCTTCTAAGCATCTGTTTAACCTCTCCGTCTGTCCATCTGTTTGAGGATGGTAAGAGGTGGACATATTCAGCTTGACCCCCATGGACTTGAATAGTCTCTGCCAAAACTGGCTAGTGAACACACTGTCCCTATCAGAAATAATTGTCTTAAGCAACCCATGTAGTTTGTAAATGTCTCTCAAAAACAGGTCAACCACATCTTGTGTTGTGAAGGGATGTTTGAGAGCTAGGAAATGGCCATACTTGGTAAGCCTGTCCACCACCACTAGTATAGCATTTCTATAGCCTGATGAAGGTAACCCTTCCACAAAATCCATGGCTATGTCCTGCCATGGTAACTTAGGAATTGGTAAGGGTTGTAAGAGTCCAGGTGTATGTATGTTTTCAGTCTTCACCCTTTGGCAAGTATCACATTCGGAAACCCATTTATAGACATCATTCTTCATATTAGGCCAATAGAAAATCATCCTCATCCTTTTATAAGTGCCCTGCTGCCCAGAGTATCCTCCCAAGGGGGATTAGTGCAGTGCTTCAAAAATCTTAGTCCTTAGATCTGTTCCCTTGTCAATGTAGATCTTCTGGTCATACCTCAAAATTCCCTACAGTAAGGTATGATTGGAACTGTTGTTGGTATTTGTTATCAATTCAGTGATCAATTTGTGAGCATCAGGATCATGCTCATAACTTTGCTCCACCTCACTCATCCAAGTAGGCTCAGTAGAAGATAAGGCAAATAATGATGATTCTTCCTCTTGTCTCCTGGATAATGCATCAGCCACCCTATTTTCAGCACCCTTTTTATATTGGACCTCATAGTCAAGTCCCAATAATTTGGTAAGACCTTTCTGTTGCAGAGTAGTGGTCACTCTTTGCTCTAGTAGATACTTCAAGCTGTGATGGTCTGTTCTTATTATAAAATGGCCTCCCTGGAGATAATTTCTCCATTTATCCACAGCTGATAGTACATCCATGAATTCCTTCTCATATGTAGATAGTCCCAAGTGTCTAGGAGCTAAAACTTTGTTGAAATAAGCAATAGGTCTGCCTTCTTGCATTAGAACTGCCCCATCCCTTTAGAACAAGCATCGGTCTCAATTATGAAAGGCTTGTTGAAATCTGCCAATGCTAGCACAGGTGCACTGGACATGGCTTGTTTAAGGGCTTGAAATGAGGTCTCAGCTTCTGCATCCCAGTGAAAGCCATTTTTTCTTCAACAAGTTGGTTAGGGGTCAGCTTATAATCCCATATGACCTGATGAATCTCCTATAGTATCCTGTCAACCCAAGAAACCCTCTAAGGGTCTTAATAGTTTTAGAAGTGGGCCAAGAAGCCATAGCCTCAATCTTTGAAGAGTCTGGGGAAACCCCTTCTCCTGATATTATGTGCCCCAAATATTCTACCTTGGGCTGGCCAAAAGAACACTTGGACAATTTAGCAAAAAGTTGATCCCTTCTCAATATCTCCAGTACTTTCCTCAAATGTAGAACACGGTCCTCCATAGTAGAGCTGTATACTAGAATATCATCAAAGAACACCAACACAAACTTCCTAAGATAATTCTTAAAAACATGGTTCATAAGTGACTGAAAGGTGGCAGGAGCATTAGTCAGTCCAAAGGGCATTACCCTAAATTCATAATATCCCAAATGTGTTCTAAATGCAGTCTTATAAATGTCCTTTTCCCCCATTCTTATTTAGTGATAACCAACCCTTAAATCTATTTTAGAGTATATGCATGACCCACATAATTCATCCATTAAATCATCAACTAAGGATATAGGAAACTTGTCCTTAATATTCATGTTGTTTAAAGCTCTATAGTCAATACAAAACCTCCAACTTCCATCTTTTTTCTTGACTAATAAAACAAGGGATGAAAATGGGGAATGGCTTGGCTGTATAATATCATTGTTGAGCATTTCACTCACTTGTTTCTCTATTTCATTTTTTTGAAAAAAAATGTATATGTAAGGTCTAATACTTACAGGATTTGCATATGATTTCAGGGGAATGTAATGGTCATGAGCCCTCTTTGGAGGCAAGGATGTTGGTTCCAGGAAGACATCTGGAAACTGCTTCAGTACCTTGTCAATAGCTGCAGGTATTATACTTGATTCTGTCACTTCTTCTGCTGAAATTGTGAATAAATGAGACCGTATGGCCTGCCCCTTTTTAAGTAGTTGTCTCACTCCATTGGTTGACAAGCTCTTTAGCTCTGTTTGGTTGTAAATTCCTTTAAGTTCTACCCTCTTCCCCTTGTGAGTTACTTGCACTTTATACTCCACAAAGTCAAGTAGGACTGGATTATGCCTTTTCATCCAATCACCCCCTAATATCATGTCATTTCCACCCAGCCTAGTTATTCTGACTGTATCTTCAAACTCTATACCTTGTATTTTCCACCTGAATTTATGGCAAATGTGCAAACTCATTAAGTAGTTGCCATTTGCTACTGTTACTCTCATGGGCACAGCTTCTGCAATAAGACAACCTATTTTTCTGGCTGCTTCCATATCCAAAAAGCTGTGTGTGCTTCCTGAATCCAGCAAAATAGTTAGAGAATTCTTTTTGGCCTCGCCTCTCAACTTGATGGTGTTGGGAACTTCAGTGCCAGATAGTGCATTTAGGCTTATTGCCTCATCCTCTATCTCTTCTTATGGTATTACCACTGTTTCTTCTTGCTGAAGGGCCGCTTCTAAGTCCTCCTCAGTAGCTGCTGATATAGCATTCAGTTGCCTAGGTTTACATTGATGCCCAGGGTGATACTTTTCTCCACACTTATAACACAAACCTTAAGCCTTTCTACTCTCAAATAGTTTGTTATTAGAATAACTCGGACCCCCATTTGAACTCTTAATAGGTTGGGAATAGTAACCTGTAGTTGGTCCTTTGTTCCACTGTGATTTTCCAGCCTTAGTAACAACTTCCAATAGGTTCTCCTTATGCCTGGCCTTCTCTACTGCCTTGTTGAATGAATAGGGATCCAACATTTTAACTGTATGCCTAATTTCTTCTTTTAATCCTTCTATGAATAATTCTAGGAAGAACTCTTCTGGTATAGTAGGATTCCTTATTAACACCTAAGCCTTGAGTTCTTCAAATTTCTCCAAATACTCGTCTACTGATCCTATTTGTTCTACTTTTTTGAATTTCCCAATTAGGTTTAATTTGCTGTTAGATGCACCCTCAAATCTACTACAAATTTTCAGTAGTAAAATCTGACCATCTAACTACTCCTTTACTTATGTGATAGGAAAAGAACCAGGATTCAGCCTTACCATTGAGGTGAAGGACTGCCTCCTCAAGCTTTTGTTGTGGATCAGTGATGTGGTTATGCTGGAAGAACCTTTCACATTTCCTCAATCATGCACAAGGATCTACTCCTTCAAAGTAAGGCATTTCCACTAGCGATTGAGACGAATGGCCATTGTTCCTTCCTCCTAGGTTATTCTTGTTATCCCCCACCCATGGCCTGGTGATTGGCCCAAATTTGAGAGACTCTCCATTGGCGCACTGCCCAGAAGTCCATCTTGTGGAGGAAGCAGCTTTTCCACTAACAATTCTAGTTTTTCCCCATATTTTCTAATCTTTCATCATTTGTAGTCATGTACTGTTGGAATTGCGTCTCTAATTTCTTTAGAGACTCGTCTGTAGCTTTAGTTCTTGTTTCTGCTCCTGTCATTTTGTACTGGTCAGGAAGAAGCTCTGATACCAATTGTAATATACTAATGAATTGAAATACAAATTTGGGACGGAAATGGTGATTTTATTGAATTGTTCAAATATTACAAGTGAACCAACGAATTGAGAATTGAAAGTCACTCTAAGAACAAAGCTTCTAATCTCAAATGCTTCTAATCTTCATTGAATCCAAGCTATCACCTGTAGAATTAATGGAGGTTTTTAGAGAGAAGGAAGAAGAGAATGAGAAGTTTAGAGAGAGAGAAAGAGAGTTGGGAGAGGAAATAACAGAAATTACCCGATCATAACTGCCCAATTAGTTAGGCCCAATTCCGTTATAAACTCCTTCTGCTGGCCCAAATCCGTTAGAGAGTTGATAACAATTCTAAGCCCTTTATTTTATTGATGTATCTCCGCCGTCCAATTTAGTGTGTGCCTCTCACATGAGTTTTGTTTTATTGCCTATCTCTTTTTCCTTATTTCCTTTCTTCATTTCATCCTTAGCCGACATATAACACAAATAAACAACAACAAAACCAGTCTCTTAAGAGCTTGATTTGAATTTAGGAAAGGGTTTTAGCTTCTGTGTGAGGTGTGTGAGAATGAGAGAAAGTAGATGCTGATGAGAGCCGTGTGAGAGGAAGGTGAGCGAATTTCTTTGCCTTATATGTGTGAGCAGAGGAGAAGGAATATATGTGAGAGTGAAGTGAGAGATGGGGCCACTAGGGTTTGGTATAGTAGGGGGTGTTCTATCTGTGGGGATTGGGGAGATGGATAATTTTAATAATTGAAGAAGAAGAAACAACATAGTATTCTTATGGTACTACGTCGTTTGGGTGACTGAAAGTCTAGGAGGCTGGACCGGGTAATTGTGGGGGAACTTGGGCTGCTGGCTTGGGGAAATTTACTAGGCTGTTTGGAAATTGGCCCAGTTTTGGACAGTCCTCTTTTCTTATTTTTTTGTTAAGTTTCACATTTGGCCAATTAATCAAATTTGCAAAATTGAATCACTTATCTATGTTTAAACTAACAACTAAATGATTAAATATATTAAAATTAATTAATTAAGACTAAAGATGCAAGGAAAAACCCACCAATAACTAATGTGCATTTTTTTGTGACTTTTACTTTAACAATGCTTTTAACCTAAGATTAATTCCTAAATGCAATTAACACTAAATGAATGATAAAATACTTTTAATGATTTTGTGATTTACAACATTTCTAAATATGCATAAACAATGCAAATAAATGTAAAACAAATAAAAGAAAAGTTCCTAAAATGCTATAAAAGCAATTAAAATTATTTTGGACTATTTTTAGGAATAAATTCCTCTATGGGGCAAAAATTAAGTTCTCACAGCTGCCCCTCTTTGCTCGAGAACTTGAAGACTTTTCGGGCAAAGATAAAGTGAGCGATTATGAGTAATTTTTACCCGTTTAACACCCCACGAGAAACATTTTGAAAAAGTTTGACCTAACCTTGTTTCCAAAGTTGCCTACATATCCTTGGCTATAAAGGAATCAGGTCAGTGTAGTTCTGGAAGTTTTGGTAGTTGGGACTATCGGAAAGCTGTGATTTCACTGCTATTGCTGTTGTTACTACTTGCTGAACTCTTTATTACACCAAAATCAGAATTAAAAAAAACTAAACAAGCCTATCAGCTATGAGTTACAAGATTCCTATATATAAGTTTTCTGAAGCTGGGTCTTGAATCTTGACTGGTTCTTTAGGAGGACTTTGATCTGAACCTTGATGTTTGCTAGCTGCAGGTGCTAGTTCATTCTTCTATGGCTTCTTCTAATCAAAGGGGGACACACAATGCTCGTGACTTCAGTCATGTCTTGAGTAGTCCATATTTTTTCATCCCCTTCTCCATTTTGGATTCACTTCCTTTTTTTGGATTGAGACTTCTTCGTTTGGTCATCTCGAAACTCATGCCTTGAGGTAAAACCTGCTCTGATACCAAAACAGAAAAACAAACGAAAATTTTCTACCCTAGTGTTCACTAAAAAAATTCATGAGTTATTTGTAACAAAATTCTATACTACTTCATTATTGAAAGCCATAAAAGGTTGGGATTGGTTCACCTGGGAAAAATATGATTCTTTGGGAATGGTTTACCCTGATTGCCTAAATGTTGATTCAACTAAGGATTGGTGTACCTTATGTTGGGAAAATGCGATGAGGGAATAATGTACCCTATATTAATAAAGATATCAAGGAATGGTGTACACTACATTTAAGATCAATTGGTAATAATATCAGGGAATGATGTACCTTGCATTTCAGCTCAACTTAACTAGGGAGTGGTGTACCCTATGTTAAAAACACGGCTAGGGAGTGATGTACCCTATACTGGTAAGGAGACTAGGGAGTGGTGACTCTATGTCTAAAATATCATCAACTAGGGAGTGGAGACCCTATGTTGGAAAGGAGCTAGGGAGTGAGAACCTTATGTCTAAAATAACATCATGTAGGGAGTGGAGACCCTACGTTGGAAAGGAAACTAGGGAGTGGAGACACTATGTCTAAAATATTATCAACAAGGGAGTGAAGACCCTATGTTAGAAAATGCAACTAGGGATTGATGTACCATATACTGGAAAGGAGATTAGGGAGTGGTAACCCTATGTCTAAAATAACATCAACTAGAGAGTGGGAACCCTATGTTGGAAAGGAGACTAGGGATTAGGGATCCTATGTCTAAAATAACATCAACTAGGGAGTGGAGACCCTATATTGGAAAAAAGACTAAGAAATGGGGACCCTATGTCTAAAATAACATCAACTAGGGAGTGGAGACCCTATATTGGAAAAAAGACTAAGAAATGGGGACCCTATGTCTAAAATAACATCAACTAGGGAGTGAATATCCTATGTTGGAAAGGAGACTAGGGAATGGGGACCCTATGTCTAAAATAACATCAACTAAGGAGTGAAGACCCTATGTTTGAAAGGAGATTAGGGAATAATGATCCTATGTCTAAAATATCATCAACTAGGGAGTGGAGACCCTATGTTGGAAAAAAGACTAGGGAGTGGTGACCCTATGTCTAAAATATCATCAACTAGGGAGTGGAGACCCTATGTTGGAAAAGAGACTAAGGAGTGGTGACCCTATATCTAAAATATTGTTAACTAGGGAGTGGAGACCCTATGTTGGAAAGGAGACTAGGGAGTGGTGACCCTATGTCTAAAATATCATCAACTAGGGAGTGAAGACCCTATGTTGGAAAAGAGACTAGAGAGTGGTGACCTTATGTCTAAAATATCATCAACTAGGGAGTGAGGACCCTATGCTGGAAAAGAGACTAGGGAATGAAGAACCTATGTCTAAAATAACATCAACTAGCGAGTGGAGACCCTATGTTGGAAAGAAGACTAGGGAGTGGAGACTCTATGCCTTAAAATAACATAAACTAGGTAGTGGAGACCCTATCTTGGAAAAGAAGACTAGGGAGTTGAGACCCTATGACTTAAATTAACAACAACTAGGGAGTGGAGACCCTATATCTAAAATAATATCAACTAGGGAGTGGTGACGCTATGTTGGAAAAGAGGACTAGGTAGAAATTGCAGCTAGGGATTGGTGTACCCTATACTACCATGATTTTGAATTTTTTTCTTCTCTTTATTAAGAGAATGAGTAAAATGCGGGAAAGAATTTGGAAAAGACTTCCCTTTTTGGAGTTGTTGCTGTTGCATAGTTGTTTCTAGTTCTCGCGCAGTTTTTTTTGGCTGCGCCTCCTTCTTGCAAAGTTGCTTTTGGATTGCACCTGTTTCCTATATTTTTTCAAACAAAGAAAAATTTGTCAGTTTAAAATTATGGTTGGTTTCGTGGCATTGAGTATTTCAGTCACTTGATCTCGGCCCGACTTCCTTGGTGATGATTTCAACTGCAACTGGTTGTTTTTTGGATACCAATTGCATTTCTGGCCCCAGAGAACCTTTGGTTTTTCAAACTTTTGTCGTGACGATTAGTCGCGTGGGACTTAATCTTTTTCAACTTTATTTTGCCTCGTAAAACTTTCACTTATGAGTTCTTTCTTCCAATTTTTAATTTCAGAGCGTTGGGAAACTTTGGCTTTTCAAACCTTGCCAAGATGGTTAGCCACGTGGGACTTAACCTTTCCAACTTTATTTTGCACTTGTAGGCACTTTAATTTGATTTCCTCCTTCCAAGAGTTTTTGATTTCGAAGCATCGGCTGCTATGGCTAGTCGGGGTCGACTTGATGCTCCTGCTGAGGCTTGGTGCCTTTTTGCATATTAGCTTGTATCAAACGAGAGCCCTATAAATCAGTCTT